GATGCTGGGTTTTTTTAATTTTTTAAAATTTTGTATTTAATTTTTTAATTTGATGCAAACATCAGAAAGTGTGAAAAAATACAATACAATGAGAAGTACCCTTCTCACTTTGTTCTCCACCTGTGTAATTCCTAGACCTCATAAGTAACCAAAGACACCATTTTCTTGTTTATTCTTCTGAAGTTTTTTAACGCATATACAAGCCAATACATCATACATAGTGTTATGTATCCTGCTTTTATCATTTAACTGTTTATCTTGGAGATATACCTGTATTATATTTAATTACATTTTAATTCTGTCCTTTTACTTGTTGAGAATACTTTTTTTTTTGAGACAGATTCTCACTTTGTCGCCATTGGTAGAGTGCCATAGCATCATAGCTCACAGCAACTTCAACTCTTGGGCTCAAGCGATCCTCTTGCCTCAGTTTTTTAGTTTATAATAGAGACAGGGTCTCACTCTTGCTCAGGCTGGTTTTGAACTCCTGAGCTCAGGCAATCCACCTGCCAAGGCCTCCCAGAGTGCTAGGATTATAGGCGTGAGCCACCATGCCCAACTATTGTCAAGAATACTTTTTACTTGCCTTCATCATAGCTCGGTCTGGCATGCAAGACCCCCAACAGCCTCTAAGAGCTACCTGACATTGGGGTGCCAATAGCAGTGGCTCACGCCTATAATCCTAGCACTTTGGGAGGCCAAGGTTGGTGGACTGCCTGAGCTCAGGAGATGGAGACCAGCCTGAGCAAGAGCGAGACTCCATCTCTAAAAAACAGCCGAGCATCATGGTGGGTATCTGCGTTCCCAGCTACTGGGGAGGCTGAGGTAAGAGGATCACTTAAGCCCAAGAGCTTGAGGTTGCTCTTGAGGGTGACAAAATGAGACTTTGTCTCAAAAAAAAAAAAAAGAAGAGCTACCTGAGATAAATGATGGTGGCTCCATGCCACACCAAAAACCATGTATCTTTTCTCTCCTCCTACTTCTGCTCTTTTGTCCAACTTGCCCAATTCCCCTTCTCTCAGTTCCTCTCCCAACTCAACCATGCCCTAACCCTAACAACTAGACCTAGAAACATCACTGAATTGCTTAGTCATGAGCAATATTCCAATATTCAGGCTTTAAAATGGTGTGGACTCTTGATATAGAGAAAAAGAGAAAAATAACAATTTCTAAGGGAACTTCTAATTAATAACAGTGCCTTAAAATAAGGAGTTTTTATTTGTAAGTACTTTCCTTTACTACTTATATTTCCTTTGGTACTTTGTTTTGTGAAAAGAGTCAATGAGCATAATGGCCATTTTCTACGAGGAGGGAAATAAGCACATATTCGGGTTTAACATGTTAGCAATGCCAAACAGAAATACGGAGTGCATTCTAAAATAACTGGAAACAAAGCATTAGAACTGCAGAAAATGAGCATCTGGGCTCTAAAGTACACACATGATTTAACCTATTATTTCTTTTAAAAATAAGTAGCTTTGGGACGCTCATAGCTCAGTGGATAGGGTGCCGGCCACATGCACCACGGCCGGTGGGTTCAAACCCAGCCTGGGCCTGAGAAAGAAAAAAAGGAGGGGTGTCTGTAGCTCAGTGGATAGGGCGCCAGCCACATGCACCAGGCTGGTGGGTTCAAATCCAGCTTGAGCCTGCTAAACAAACAAACAACAACAACAAAAATAGCTGGGCATTGTGTCAGGTGGCTGTAGTCAAAGATACTAGGGAGGCTGAGGCAAGAGAATCGCTTAAGTCCAAGAGTTAGAGGTTGCTGTGAGCTGTGACACCATAGCTCTCTACTGAAGGCAGCAAAGTAAGACTCTGTCTCAAAAATAAATAAAATAAAGTAAGTTGCTTCAAACTGAAACTACATCTTAGAAGTGTATTAACAATATTCACAATCAAGAATGCTCAGTTGAGTAGGGCACTGGCCACATACACCAGCTAGAGGGTTGGAACCTAGCCCAGGCCAGCTGAACAATGACAAGTGCAACAAAAAACAGCTGGGTGTTGTGGCAGGCACCTGTAGTCCCAGCTACTTGGGAGGCTGAAGCAAGACAATCGCTTAAGCCCAAGAGTTTGAGGTTGCTGTGAGCTGTGACACCATAGCACTCTACCAAGGGTGACATAGTGAGACTCTGTCTCAAAAAAAAAGAAAAAAGAAAAGAAAAAGAAAAGGAACATAGAGTTCCCTCTCTCTGTTTTTATTTTCCAGCCCACAATCTCAGACGCTATCCTGCCCAAAGCAAAACACTACAATTTTTAAAGATTTTTTTTTTTGAGACAGAGCCTCAAGCTATCCCCCTAGGCAGAGTACCATGGCATCACAGCTCACAGCAACCTCCAACTCCTGGGCTCAAGTGAGTCTCCTGCCTCAGCCTCCCAAGCAGCTGGGACCACAGTCACCCGCCACAACACCCAGTCATCTTTCGGTTGCAGCTGTCATTGTTTTGGCGGGCTGGGCTGGATTCAAACCCGCCACCTTAGGTGTATGTGGCTGGCGCCTTGGCCACTTTAGTCATAGGTGCCAAGCCGATTTTTAAGTTTTTGAAATAATAAAAATAGGAGGAAAATATTAGCAAATAAAAATTTTGTTCAGACTTAGAAAACATTTTTCACGAATCAAAGGACTGTTAGGGAACATAAAATTAAGGCAGTCACATAACTACATCGTCAAGTAGTTAACAGGTAGTAGCTCACAAAGTAGACAGCGCTGACTTCCTTTCTGTATTCCTGCCACACAAGTGGCCTTTGGTACAACTTCAGGGATTATTGTATTATAACACAAGTTCATAGAGATTTAGAGGTGAAACCTTAAACATTACAAATATCCTCAAAATCAGGCCTCCATATACCTAAAACATTAGTTAAAAGCAAGGAAACTATAAAACGAAATCCAATATATTGATCCCAATCCCCTCGCCTGCTTCCTAAAGAGCATGAAGATGACCAGGTCCTAATGTTAAACATTTGTTAAGAAGTAGAGACTTTCTTACACAGATCCCCTAATTCTTGACAGTTCAGGACTGGCTGTGTTACCCATGCAACCCCTCCAACTCTACAAGGAGAATGGCTAAAGAAATTGTGCCACTTTGGCTTCCTTTATGTTAATGTGTGCTCATTATCCAACAATAGCAGCTGAAATACAAATGAAGATGAGAATTCAGTCTACATTACCTAAAGATGTCCCACAAGTCCATATATTTAGGTTACACAGACTGCATTACATTATTTTCTGATTAATCCACTGAATTAATCTGGAATTCCACAGAGCAGATTACCACACAACCACTTTTTTTTTTCTTTTTTTCAGAGTCTCAAGCTGTCGCCCTGGGTAGAGTCCTATGGTATCAGAGCTCATAGCAACCTTCAACTTGGGATCAAGCAATCCTCTTATCTCAGTTTTTCTAGTTTTTAGTAGAGACAGGGGCTCGCATTTGCTCAGGCTGGTCTCAAACTTGTGAGCTCAAGCAATCCACCC